TGGATTTGTTTTGTTAGAACTATTTGATTCTCTGATCTGCGTTGGCAAATTCAAAGTTATTTTTTTAAGTCCTCCCAGATAACTGTTGTGATGTAGGGCTATACAAGAATAAATTGAATTGGAAGACAGTGAAGGACATGGGACAGACTATGTAGGAAACAGAGCAGAGGAAACTGGATTGAACATTTGTAAACCTTTGAAGGAACTCAAAAGTTTGGCAGGTGAACTGTACGGTTGCGCAGTGGATACAGAAAAAAGGCCAGGGTTTCGATTCCACCTTTTGTGTGTTCTCCCCATATCTGTACAGGTTTTCCTTCCTACAACTTAAAAACATGCACATTAGGTGAGGATTGAATGAGTGTTTGTGGGACGACAGATGGAAATGACTGTAGCTACATTGCTACTATCTGGTGTATTTACAATCTGAGAAGCTCTGTAGTGTCGCTGAACTGTTGCTGCTGTTCATTTTTAAACACACAAACACACACATTACATTTAACCATTTTAAATATAACCACGGATGGACCAACTAACTTTGTTCAGTCTGGGCCATTTCTAAAAGTTTAGTATTTTGGTTTGGCACTAGTCTGTTTCCACTACACCCATTTGTGTTTTGTTTTTTTTGCCAAAGTTGTCTTTGAGAGATTTTTGAGAAAATGATTGTCCCATCCAAATAAAACAAAAAGTTCTTTAACAAGATTATCTCCAAGATGAACACAAATAATGCAACTTTGCTGTGGGTTTTCAAATACTGACTTGTGGAAATATTTTGAACATATATTATTTTGCATTTCGGGGCTTTCAAAGCTCCTGGGCAAAGAAGAGAGATTATCTTTAACGATTACTTTAGGACTGGAGCAAAGCGGAGGAGGTGCCTGCAGCTCGGATATGCTTCATCACTGACCCTCACAAAAGCAGCACAACAACATCCATTTTTAAACATCCCCGTGAGCACAGCGACACCACCGCGCTTCTTAACAGACAGCCGAGTACAGACGAATGACAACTTATGCAAGAAGCAAGCAGAAATACAACCATCAAGACTTTACATGTGGCACTGAGACTGAAAAACATCCATTGTGTGCCTTATACATGATATGAGACTGTTATTCAGAGGTTTGTGGTTTAGCAGGTTAAATCAATCAATCAATCAACGTTTATTTATAGAGCGCCTTTCCTACACAAGGCAACGCAAAGCGCCTCACAACCCATATAACATCATGCATAAATCATCAAACATTAGAATTTAAGTAAACATAAAAAGACAGATTAAGAGCACAAGATATATAAAATCACACAAGTAGTTAAAAACCGTAAAACATTAAAATTAAAAGAAGTTATTAAAAATAACTTCTTAAATTAACTGTATATATTATGCTCTCTTAGAGGTTTCTTGTTTCTTGTTTCTTGTCTGAGTCTGAGTTGTCCAGTTCCTGGTACCGTTCCTATTTTGGGAGTGTACACACATAATAACTAGAGAATGGGGTCACACTTTGGGGACATTTTTAGCTCCAGCTCCGGGGCTACAACTTTCTTGTGAAACTGCACGATGCATTAAAGCAGTGGGAAGAGACATACTCATTCAGAGTTGTGATTATAACTTTGAGTTTCAAGCAGGGAACTGAATGGTTCTTCGGACTAAATAGGAAGTGATTGATAGTAAGAACTAGTTCTTGGTGGAGGTCAGTGTGAAAACAAAACAGTTTATAGAAAACAATAGTTGTAGTAGTTAGGGGTGGGCGATAATTATTGTATGAGATAATATCGCGAAACTACGATAGGCTTTTTCACATTATCGAGATATTGGCTCTTGTTCACTTTCGCCACTTTGCCTGCTTGCCTTGTCTGTGCTGCACTCATCCCCAACTCCCTTTGCTCCACCTCTGACCCTCCCCTCGGCTCCCCCCGATGCGTTTGTCTCATTCAACACAGCAGTGGTACCGCGTACCTAGCAGCAGAGACTGCAATAAACATGCTCGGAGGAAACAAATTTGTCCAAAAACCGCGGAGTGTAGAATAGTATAAAAGCGCAGCTGGTGTAGCGTCAGAGTCCGTTATATTATACAGATGTAGACATGACACCATAGACTGTAAATATTAACCGACGTAGTCACGCCTATCTCCGCCAGTAAAACAAATGGGTCAAAAGTTGTGCTCTACTGGAGCGATCCAAAATGGCCGCAAGTGGTCCCGCCCACAAGAAAATTGTGAAAAAACGCATCTGCACATGCGTCAGCCGGCGCAAGCCCCATTCATTAAACGAGTGCCTTCAAAAATTCACAGCGACTAAACTAGAGTGGTCCAAAGAAATTCACTCCCCTCAGCATTGACACACATGTTTTGGGCCAAGAGCCAACTTTTGGACCATCCTGTAAAGATGTTTTCGAGAGGTAAGAAGATGCTATATGCTATATACCACCCCATCTGTGTTGCAAACATGTCAGCGCACGTAATTTTGGCCACTTTTGAGCCGGGACTCGCCCCCACTGCATGACACCTTTTGCCGTTGTTGAACAACATGGCTTTATACCAGAGAAAAGAAAGTTACGATTACTTAATGTCACCCCGGAGTGAGGCGTTTCAACACAGATTACAGATAACTTTGCAACACAAGAACTCCTGCGACTGTACACTGCTGAGAGAGCGGCTAAATTGGAATAAGTTACTTGATATTAATGTAATCAGGTATTTTTTGTATCTTAAATGTTGCAAAAAACTTTGTTCCTTAATGCAAAATGAGTTGTATAATTTTATTTTTGAATGAAAAAAAGGCAATAAGTATATTATTTTCAAAAACAAGAAGTTAAGACAAATGTGACAGAAGCCCTTTGTTCCTACTTGGACTGACTACCTCTTTGAGGTACAATAAAAAAAAGACTTTAGAAATTCAACACATTTTTGTTTGTAGTTTTTAGAGGGTTATTTATCCTGTAAAAAAAAAAATTAAATAATTTGTTTCTCCATATTGCCCAGCCCTAGTAGTAGTATACCCCACCTCCATGTGGACTATGGGCATCAGGCTATGCCTCTGGGATAATGGCTTGAGCGCATTCAGGTCTTCTATTTTGTACACAGTGGTTTTCTAAAGGTGATATTTTGTGAACAAATCAGACCACAACATGCTGTCTTCATCTCATAGAGAACATGGTTTTTTTTGCACACTTGTAAGAAAGAGCCTTGAGCTTTGATCTGAGAATTGGCCAAGCAAGAGTGGTTCTCTTTTCTAGGTGACAGAACCTAGCTGTTTTGAGAGCAAACCTAATATTCCATGTCTGCATTACACCAATAAATGTGTTCCCCTAATACGACACAGGCCAAACATGTATAGAAAGCTGTAAGTTTTCTTAAACCATGACATTTCACTCAAGAATTGTTTGTGTCACTCATTTTGCTTTGAGGCTGTTCCCTGTCTGTTCAGTCCACTCTACAAGTGACCTCCTCGCCTCTCCATAGCACAGTGCATTCTGGGAGATGCCCCTATAACCTCTGTCGGTCACTATCACCAGGATCTGCCGTGGCCTTGTTGTTTTGGGATGGGTGTCACAGCACAAAGTGCATTTGGATGGAACGCTTGCTGGCTGAGGTCGGCTACAGACTGATGTGATGGAGCTGACACTTCAATGAGCTGTTTGACAAGTCCAAGATCCGCAGAGAGAAGCTGAAGAAAACTGGGGTAAAGTCGCAGAGAGATGAAGAAGCAGAGTGTACAAAAGGAAGACCACATGCTATTTGAATAAAAAACAATATGGATTATATATATAATATCACATTATTATTTTTTTGTGTTAAACATAATGTTCAACTTTACTTTTCACATTTCTGACAGCTACACAACCGTAGAAGTAGCACGCTCCATTGATTTGAATGTAATTTGGCGCAAGTAGTCCGGCCACTTTGTCAACACGGCACATGGCTGTTACTATTTCTGTCCCTGCGAGAGAAGCTGCGGTTAACGGGAGTCCAACTTTCAACCCAGAGATACACCACAATTCCTCATCTCCAACTGCACCTTTAATTGGAACGTCCAGTTTAATATTAAAAAGTGGCTAGCATAGCTGTTACTCGCGTCGAGCAAAATCAAAATCAACGAAAGTCGTTCACAGACATTGATATGATGTTCAAAGTTTGAGTCAATTTCTGATCGCTCAGTCCATTCTTCCTCTGAACCTGCCATGCTCTATTTACTTTCTCAAATCACCCTCTATAGTAAATAAACAGTCTGCACATTTTTTAGATACAAATGTATACAGTTTAACACATCAAAAAAAGTTGGAGACATGAAATTGTTGGCATAAAAAAATGCTAACAATTTGTATTCTTAGCCACTACATGATCCAATGTTAAGTATTGATTTATTTTTAACCATTCAGAGAAAAACTTAGAGATGTGATGTAATCAACACAAACCTTTGAAAATAATCTAGCGCTGAAACGTAACCACCACTCAAATATTTTTTGGGCGGAAACCCTGCTCTGTTCATACTTGTGTGCATTGTAGGCGACTATCTTGGGCAAAGATCCTAATATTTAAAGTCAATGGCAAAGATACATCAGGACTGGGCAGTAACGGGTGAATGGGTATTCCACGCATGCACGAGCACAAGATTTTTTACCAGCAAAAGACGAGCTGACGAAAGACAAACAGTTTGAAAGTAGTTTTCTCTTAAAATCTCAATTGATCCAAAACAGTGTTAAAAAACAAAAAAACAAATGCAGAGTAAATGTTGTCACATAAAAGACTAAAGAGCAGATAATTTTCCCCTTGGGCCAATAATAATACCTGCACAACACTGCCAAATTCTCCACATGTATCCCAGATTCAGATTGACACATAAAATAAACAGTAGGCTTGTTTCAGCGGCGGCCGTCAGAGGAACCAAGGGGAGCAATGGAGTCTTGGCTTCAGGGAGACGTCAAATACTCAAATAAGTATAAAGTCTCCTTAAAAAGCACATTCAAACAAACTGGTGCAAAACAAACATCTGCCTCAGAGACACTAAATCATCTCCCTCTTCTTTTTGGAGATGCAGACCCCACTGTTCTCCTAAAGGACACTATGGCCCTGGGAGAGCAGTCCTCCTGTGATGTTCCTCCACACAACGTCAGACCAAAGAATCGCAGAAACGTAGAATGTTGCACGGGACTTCTATAGAAGCGTGAGTTGACGGCTGTGGCCTTGGGAGCACAGCGGGGTTCTGAAGATTAGCCATATGAAAGAAGCTCATGTGTTTTGATTTTTATAAGCCACATTTTGAAGCAGTCTTTTGGATATTTTTGGACCAGTGGGGATTTCTCTCCCGGCGAGGTCAGTAAAGCCGTTGGAGCTGCAAAGTCTTGTTTTAAAGTTTATGATGAAATATTAAACGCTGCTCAACTATTAATGTCTTTAAAAATAAGGGAAAGGGAAGCACAAACACACTGGACTGTGGAATGGAGTTTTCATTTTAGGATGTGGAAAATGTTAGATAAAAAATAATGAATGCTGTAGGGACAATCCGTTGTATTTTTGTCTACTTTAGGATATGGGCAATTTAAACTCTTTTTCCAGAATTGACAAAAAAATGTTTTTCTTTGAACATTGAAAAGGCCAAACTAATTCTAAATGACTGATTGATGAATGCGGATTGATGAATGTGGTTTCACTGCAAATGGCAAATCAACAGAATCTTTAATCAGAAGTATGTAGAAATGTCTACCAAACTTTTATTTAACTTGACTTCTGAACAAAATTAGGACACTCTTGGTCTGAACCAAAACTGGACCAAATACTCAAAAAACGTGATTGGAGTGAGTAGGAGAAAAACGTCGCCCATGAGCCTTTACCTGTGTCCATCTACACAAAGTCTATACATTTATGGAATAGATGAGTTGTATGGCCATACCTTGGAGCTGTTCGATCAGAGTCCAGGCCATTCGAGAACCTTGTGCATCAAACACCACGTGACCCTGAGGAGAACACAAGAGGAATGCATTAAAGCAGTGGTCACAAACCACTGGTCAGCCATGGGTCAGCTGCACCAGGCAAAGCAAAGTTATCCATAATACATAAAGCAGGTCAAAGTGCTTAACACTGTTCCTGTGCTCAAGCAGAGTACGTTTTGGAGTAAAAAAATTACCGTAGCAATATTCTGGCAAATAAATCTGTAATTTTGCGCCCTATTTTAAGCCTGTCAACAAAATTACAACATCACTATTCATTCCCTGCACATAATCCAGTTTTTAATTGTGGAACGCTGTAAGTTATTTTGACACAAATTGGAGTTAGTCACTTTTATGGCTAATTATTTGGATGTTTCTGCTAAAATGTTTTTGAATTATGTTTAATGATAATAGTAATAATAGAAATGAATAGTTTCTGTTATCCAATATTATAGTTACTTTATCACTATCAATATGTGATGCTATCTGGGAAAACCCATCACATCGTGAAATTTGACCAACTTAAGATTCTGATACCATCTTAAAGCTGCTTTCAATCTCTTTTCTAATCTGTTTTCCTTTTTTTCATAGCATGTCTGTAACAAATGTTATCATTATCTGAAGTCAGCTTATTAACATGGTTTTATAAAACGGAATGTTGAGAAAAACAGGTTTAAAGATAGACTTTCTAAATAGAATCGCCACAATTAAATATAACATGTTAAATTTGAATTTCTCTGTTATGGCACACACTTATTTTAGTCACTATTGTAAGATAAAAAAGGTTACTTTGGCACCAAGCAAACACACAACACTCATTAAGTAGATGTAAAAAAGCCTGTTGTGTTCTGTTGGGTTTGTTCACAACATTTTACTTTTGTGCACAACCAACATGCATTTTTAATGCAAGGGGAAAATTAGGTACCCGAGATTTAATTTTGTTTTGGTTGTGCATAGGTAGGAGACACGGGGGAGACCTGCACTTGCAACAAGCTGGGGGTGGTCCTGAACGCGTGTCTGTCCATGTGTCTATAATTCTGTCCGCACGTCTATGGTTCTGTCCGTGTGTCAATGGTTCTGTCTGCATGTCAATGGTTCTGTCCGTGTGTCAATGGTTCTGTCTGCATGTCAATGGTTCTGTCCGCGTGTCAATGGTTCTGTCCGCACGTCTATGGTTCTGTCCGCGTGTCTATGGTTCTGTCCGCGCATCTATGGTTCTGTCTGCGCGTCTATGGTCTGTTCATTACAGTTTTTCTCAGTCGCTTTGGTGCATTTCTCACATCAGACTTAAAGTTCTCAAAACTATTAGTTCAACCTCCACAACATTGGGTCATTGGTGCACATCATCATGGCAGTTTCTCATTCCTCTGAACACATTTCAAATGCTTTTGTTCATGTATCAATAACTTTCATACAATTCTCTGCGTTTTTTTAACCTTATCATTTGCTTCTGTCCTGTCAGTCAAAATGAAACATACTTATCACTTCTGAATAGTCATTCACTATAAAACTAACTGTCCTCATTTCATCGCTTTGGTCATCACATACAAAATAGTTGAACTAGTTCTCAAAATCATAACTGTCAAGCTAATTTCATACATTCCTTCATCTTTTTTTCCTGTAAATCTTTCCTAAATGGAACAATTTATCTCAGGTGAATTTCAACTTCACTCATGAGGTGTGCTTTATTGTTTATTTTTGTCACAGTTCTACCATAATGATATTTATTGTATGTTTGTTCTATGTATATACTGTACATGTACAGTATGTGCCTGCAATTCTACAGCATTGTGCAACAAAAATACAAAGAGCATATGCAGTACACATACATACATACATATACATACAGTACAGTACATACATACATAGATATACACAAACATACATACATATACATACAGTACATACATACATAGATATACACATACATACATATACATACAGTACATACATACATAGATACACACATACATACATACATATACATACAGTACATACATATATGTTACAGAATGTCAGTTACGTCTCTAAATACAGTCTTTGTGTAACTTTACTGTAGTTTTTACTGTAAATGGCCGTATAGGTCGTGTATAGTGTGCTCATAGTCGTGCTCAAGTGTTACCGAGATCTGACTTTTTTTTTACACTGAAAACACAGAGAGAGTGAAGTGTCACAATGAAAACATGACTAAGTCATTTGACTGTGATGTTCATACTCAATGTTGTCAGGACATATTATTTAGACGACATAGACAGTTTCATTGACGTTTGGACTTGCTTTTGAGGAATAAACTTTTAATTTTGAGAAAGTGACGCACTTTTGCAGGTTTTCCACAAGGTTCTGCAGTTTGCACTAATTGTTCTGAGAAATGCACCAACAGTTGTGCAAATGTGAAGAATGATGTGAAAAATGCACCAAAGCGACCGATAAAAACTGTAAGCTCATTCCTACCGACTCAAACCCCGGGTTGCGTTTCCCTTACATACAGAGGGACACAGGCTGGTGAGAAAGACAAAATTACCAATGAACCCACATCGCAAGAAAGGATTTTGGCTGATTCTATGTTGCATGTTCATTGTGAAGACTCCAACCAAATATAGCGGCCATTTAGACCGCAAGAAAACCAAACAGTTTCATTGCTTGTTGCTTACATGTGGGTCAGGTGAAGAAGAATCACACAAAAGTCACATGAGGACCATATTTTGTAAAATGTAGCAAGCCAAGGAACAAGAGTAAAGCTCTAACTGTCAGAGTTTGGGCTGATGAACGCGCTGATCTTACCGTCACAAACATGTCCCCACTGAGGGATGAAGAACGGTTTATCTGATCTTAGAATGTTTATAATGATGTCATTGGCAGAGTAAGCACACAAAGTCGACCTTGAAAGTTATACAATCTTTCAACCTCCAGACGACAGAACACTTCAACACATTGAATAGGGATTGTTCAACACACAGAGACACACAGACTCTCATAAACACACACACAGACACACCGAGCCACAAACACACACACGCATGACCACACACACGCATGAACACACAGACCAACAGACACACACGCACACAGAAGAAAGACTGACCGACACGCCTTCGAAAGAGCTGGTGTTGAGGGCTCTGTAGATCTCTGCGGTGATCTCTCTGTTGTTGTAGTTGAAGTCCTCCAGCCTGTAGCCCTTGGCCTTCAGGGGCCCCACTGTCTTGTTGAGGGCCAGGGCCAGGGCCCACACCGCGTCATAGGCCAGAGGAGCCTCCTGGAAGCCTCCAGTCTCCTCTGGGTTCTTTCCCCCCAGTTTAGACATAAGCTGATCCAGAAACTCCTGCGAGGTCTGTGGACACATCAAAAAAGACCTGACTTTTAATGATTGCATATACAGTACATGTTTTTAAACTCAAAATAAAATACATTTGCATAATTGTACACACACATTAGAGGAGTTATGGCCACGGGTACAATGTGGTTGCTGGGTAAGATGATCCTTTAAAATGAAAAAGATGCATACTTTATCCAGCACATAGTCATGGGCCTTTTGTTCCGATACTGTATTTCTGCATGTGTCTGGTACTACGCTATATACTAATACCACAGAGCAGTACATGAAGAAGCCACACTCTCTCCAGGGGTATGAAATATTTACATGATGCACAGGACTCCAAGTACCTGTTGAAACATATCAATATTTATGACATGGCTGAATGCTGTCAGTCACTCGATGTTCCTGGAGGCGTCATAAAAAAGTGCTTTTAATAACGTCCGCCGCAGCATACAGGAAGGAACGGGCAATCTCTAGAGCTGTGCGAGGCAGGCTTAAGAGGAAATGTAAATGTAGTAATCAAATCACCAATCTTCTGCCTCCTGATTTCTTTCAAACTGAGGGGCTGGAAGTCATTTTATTATAATAATGCATCATATTTATTAGTATTTTTGTGGATGTTTAAAGACGCTGTATAAATGGACAGTGGATTTTATTTTGGAATCTTTAATAAATGTACAAATGGTTAAACAAGAAAACCATTAATGATAAAAATCATTACATTTCCATGGTCACATGACCATTGGTGTTGAATGCCCCCTCCCACCTATCAAATAGTTCATCCCTGAGCTTCGCTCTCAGGTGCTCATTGAATTCCCCCAATGTTTCAGTAGAGACACAGAGTCCAGCATATTCTAGACCACATGTGTCAAAGTCAAGGCCCGCGGAATGAATTTTACATGGCAAAATGGCATATTACATCTAATATGTTTGGGGATAAGCTTGAGAGCATATTGAATCGAGCCAGCAGGTGGCAGCAGCGCTCTCTGAATGGTTTGAAAACAGCTAGATGCACTTGTGCCTCTTTTTTCACAGCTTTTTGGTGATTTCAGTAAAACTTCCCTATACTCAACTGGGGATTACAAGCTAGAAACAAAATTCTTTTTGCTGATGAAAGTAGACAGTCTATTCTTTCAGAATCTGGTTTCGGATTTCAGATAGTCATTGTTCACAATATTCTGTGGGTCTTGAAAAATCTATAAAAATCATCAGAAACTGCTGGCAATATGGGAGTACCTGTTCTGAAATAGGCTGGCAGGCAATGAGTTAATAAACATTGAACCAGTCCGGCCCTCGGCTCGCAGCAAATTTGTTTTTTTGGCCCTCTGATGTATTTGACTTTGACATGCCTGTTCTAGACCCTGGTGGCATACGACAGAACAACGATAATTGAGTGACAACTCTATACTGACACTGATCCTGAGTGATCCGATTTATGCCAAATGTGACATGTAAATGTATCCATTGTGAGATCAGTAAAGTTTTATCTAATCTTATCTTATCTTAAATCATTTTGGGTAAATATCAGCTGATAAATTGGTATATTACCATTCATCAATTGAAATACCTAATCAGTAATTAAGCCAAGACCCTGATCTATATATTTATAAATGCCATGACGTTCTAATAATTATTCAGTGATATTGGCTTTGTATCAACAAGTTGTATGTGGGAATTTTACTTAAAATTGTTAAAAACGTAACAAATTATATTCCAACTATATACAGTGGCGCAAATGGCAGAAATGTTTTGAAAGTTTTGCTATATTTGAGCAACAATCCAAGGCAGAATTTTTCTCTGAACAGACAACCTCCACATGGTGAGCTCCCAGCAGATCGCTTACATCATTCAAATACAGCAGACTAGAGTCACAAAAAGCAGACATCATAGAGGAACTTAAACTTCAGATGAAATTTACCAGAGTAAACTCAGAGAAAACATGAAAGGGAAACAAAAAATAATTTAATTCAATACAGCAATACTTTGCTCTACTGTATTGCTTTAATTGCGTGCAGAAAATATTGCAATACTGAACAGATATTTTTTTTTTCCCCACCATTTCTTTCACAAATATTGTATTGTGAAAGTGTGTATTATTATGCTTGGTACATATTCATTATATGTGTGTATGTATGTCTATCTAGCTTTTGGAAAAGAAAATATACCAGCTAAAATATAATCCGTGTTACCCTCTCAGTGTCCATCCTCACTGGGGACCACTCTTGCTTATGTCGCTCTGTGACTGGAAATCCAATAGACAGTAAAAGCTACGATCTAAGATGTATAAAGTGCCTCGTGCCTCTCCAGCTCACATAAAACCTGTTTTAGTGTGGTCAGCAGCCATTCCCATTCCTCGTCTCTCTGTTAATTCCTCATTCTCTTTCATCTCGCTGCTGTTTCCATGATGCATTTACCTTCTATTACCAACCTCCGCCACTTTTTTCCAGACAATTAGCTTAATTAGGCCGTGCTAAAGACGTTAAACAATGGTCTGGGGTGCGTGGGGGGCCTTTGGGTGCTTTGATGCGTGACGACGGACGCGTTATTTGGACGCTTTGAGCCAAAAGACAGCTGCGCTCTGACACCTGCAGCTGTTCGCAGGGGAGAGACGGAAGGGCCAAGCATGCCAAGTGTGGCTGGCATTCTGGAGCAGCAGTCAGAGAGAGAGCAGGAGAGCTAGTACCACCTATGACACTCAGGTTCTATGGAGGAAATGTCGAGGAAATACTTTATTCTGTTTAATAGCTTGTGGTCCTAATCTATTCTATTTAACAGAGATGCACACAAATCTCTGACCCGCAAGTCCAAGTGAAGTCCCTAGCCCAGGAGTCCAAGTCTACTCGTCTGTCTCTGTGTGGTATGTATATGTACATGTGCCTGTCTCTGTGTGTTTGTACATGCGTTTGTCTGCGTGCATGTGTGTGTCTGCCTCTGTGTGTGTACATGTGTGTCTGTGTGCTTGTGTGCATCTTTCTCTATGAGTGCGTGATGTTCTGTACCTAATTATACCAAATCTTCATATGAAATAGAATTAAAAACGTCTCATTTTAATAAATACTTTGTTTCACAAAGTCATATCTGTGTCAGATCTTATCTGTGGTAAAATCAGACACATTGATAATGCGTGTGACGTGAAACACGTCTGCTGCGTCATTTGCATATTGTCCCCTAGATCCAGGGGTGTCCCAATTCTTAGGGAGAATATCCTGTGAGTGATCTACTTTTCTGATGAGGGCACTCACACTTGGAGGGCCCTCAGAATTGGGACGGGGCCCAAGTTTCTGGACCCGCAAGTCCATGTCAAGTCAAAGTCAAGTCTAAGTCCACGCCCTGGAGTCCAAGTCAAGTCCAAGTCCCTGGACCCGCAAGTCCAAGTTTCATTAAAATTATGGCCAATACAATTTAAAAAGGACTAAAATATATGAATTAACTTTTTTTTTTTAGAGCACATTTTCCAGCCTTAAACATTTCCGCCTGCCATACCAGGGCTGGACTGGGACCAAAAAACAACCCCGGGTTGTTTTTTTAACATTTATATATACATCATGCAGAAGCCCATACTGTAGAGGCAGTTTCAACAATTAAAATAAAATGTAATAGTCTACGTAAGAGAGTAACAAACATGTCACTAAAGTGAGGGTACAGTACCAAAACTATTGTTTGTTACAGGGATCAGAATGGGACATTTCAAAAAAGTCTGAAATACCAGCATTTGACTATTGGCACAACCAACATGAGCTGTTAATGCAAGGGAAAATGTACGTACCCCAGCTTTAATTTAGCGAGTTTAGGAGGAGACACAGGGGGGAACATGGGCACTTCAACCACCTCTGTCTCCACCAAAGACTCCCTCATCACCTTCCATGGACCCGGCTTGGGTCCCCCCCGCTACATCCACTCCATCTAAGGAACATGAGGACGACCTTTCCCTTTGTTTTCTATCCCCGCCTTCACTACTGGAATTACCGGAACACTCGGCAGGCATGATAAGATCGGCGATGAAGACTATTCCTCTCACACCCACTGTAGCCAGATCAAGAGTCCTATCTAACATTCAAAACTACTCCCCATACGTACCTCCAAAGCCACCTAGAGCGTCCAACTCAAATTCTCCCACAAAATCCACCCGTCCCTCCTCTAACCCCATAAGTATTCCACCCCCCCCTCCTGCTCATTTAGCCCACCTCCCCCCTAACCCAGCACCAAGAAACCCTCCACCTCCACTCCCCCCTCGTCCACCTCCCAAGAACCACCTGCCTCTCCATCCTCTTCCCCCACCTTCCCCTTCCCCTCTTTTCTCTAAACACTAGGATGCACAGGGTCTCTGCTTCGCAGCCACTGGCAGTCTAGTTAGAGGAGAGACCCGGCTGGGGCCCTGTCATGAAGCCACCTGTGCCATTCCCTTAGTGATAACACAAAGAATACATAACAGAAAAACATCTGAAGTTAATCAGTCTAATCAGGAAAATCTAATTCTTGTTCCGTGTAAGAATCAGCCGACCACAACCGCTGATACTGAAACTTTGAAACTTGCTACGCTTAATGTCAGATCTCTTTGTAACAAGTCTTTTTTAATCAATAATTTCATTTGTTCTTATAATCTAGATCTTATGTTCATGGCTGAAACATGGCTTGACCAAAATACAGAAAATGCAGTTTTAATAGAAGCATCACCACCAAATTTCAAATTTGAATCTGAAATACGGGGAAACAAAAAAGGAGGAGGCTTAGCTGCCATTTTCAGAGACCACTTTGTCTCCCATAGAATGTCTCTTGGGAAGTTTCCGTCTTTTGAATATGTGTCTTTTAAAATACAACAAAAACAATCTAGTCCAATACTCTTCATTGTCCTATACAAGCCACCGCAGTCATGTCACAGATTTATTGATAATTTTACGGAGTTGCTTTCAGTTTTATGCACAGATTTTGATAGCTTAGTTATTACAGGGGATTTTAATATTCATGTGGATAATGTTATTGACAGAAAGGCAAAAGAGCTGAGTTCTGTTCTTGAA